CGCCCGAGATGCAATGGGACGCCACCAAGTACGCTCTTTTCACATCGAGATCCCTGGGTAACAGCTGACAAGTCCAGGTTTGAACCACCAGCGTCATCGAGACCCGAAGCTGCCAACTTCCCTACGCAAACGTATGCCTTCAGTGATAGCCGATCGCTCTTCAAGGCACCACGAGCCTATCCCGATGCGCCGCGAGACATGTGGTACCAGGTTCCAGAAACGAGGGAAGCGCCCAAGCCCATCTTCCCATGGGAGCAAGAGGCGGATAGACCTAAGCCGACGCGTGTGTTTGCCGAGGACTTGTCACCACAGCCAACCCCTCAGGTGATGTCGCCAACACATGCTTTCTCAACCACACACTTCGACGAGAGCGATAAGGTCGCTCCAGTCGCAGCCGAAAAGGTTAGAAATCTTGGTAATGCTATAGCCTCGAGCTCTACTGACCAAGGCTGGCAGTCTTATCAAAACAATAGCGGCAACGCCTGGGATAATGTTCCAGGCATCGACAGCTATGTTCGTGCCATATCGGATCTGAGTGGAATACGGGGTAAGAACCAGTCGCTACAACAGACCACAGGCACGGACGACATTAGTTCGCCTATATTGGATCGCAAGCAACGCCGTGAGAGCTTAGTCCTCACCGACTTCCCGTCCGCAGTGGAGCGACCGAGTCTTCCTGTAACACCTGCGCCGGTTCGTCGTCCAATGTTCTGGGGCGAAGAGAGGAACCAGACAGGCGAGCTTCCTTCTGCCACAGGAGTGCCGGACCAGACCGAATGGGTATGTTTACGATACACCTTTTCCTCTTTCAATCATGAGCTGACTTTGAACTTTTAAGAATCCCGAGGAGAAGCTTGACCAGTTACGGCGATCATCCCTGATCGAGTTCGAGCATCTGAAGAAAGATGAGCACCCAAACCCACCAATGCGCGCACTTCCCGAGCATTCGATTGCCGGGGAGGAGAAGACTGGCACTTCATTTGGACTTGATGGAGCGAACGATCAGGGCATTCCCGGATCTTTCCCAAGCGTTGTCGAGAAAGACTTTGCTAGCAGCGACCCTGCACCAGACGTGCGACCGAGTTCCAGTGATCGTTCCTTCGCACATGGGGACGAGAGCTCCGCGCCCCAGCACTACTCTCAGCAGGATTTTTCCTCTGGATCTTCCAGCACCTTTGGGCAGAACTTCTCAAGCTCGACATCGCAGGTAACATCCACGGAACAGACTACCAGCCAATCTTCGCAGTCTTCTAGCAATCAAGTCCAGGCTGGAGGCATGACTTTCACCGTACCCGTATTCGAGGACGGTACTTCAGCTGACGCCCAAGCCGCTGGGGATGATCTCAGTCCGACACAGAGTCGGACCTAGAACAAGATGATGAACGAATGATGGATATCAATGTTTGCGGTACCAATTTGTCGGTTATTGACCATGGACGATCTCTTGCTGTTAACGATGGAGGATACATGTTGCGATCTCAGTTTTACCCTTTCGTCTTGATACCTGTATGTTTCGTGTCTTTCGTTCGCGAGCCTTGTAGCATTTGCATCGTCACTGCATAGCGATCTGTTGTAGCTCATTATCCATACTTGCTTGCAGGATTTGCTCCAAATTGTAAGATGTACAGGGTGATGGACTCACTTCACTCAATGGAAATCTGACCACCTTGGAGCCTACATTGACCTTGGATGTTCTGGTTTGCTTCTTTCAATACTCATGTAGGCTGCAAGCCCGTTCAGACTCTTCCTTGAATGAGTTGGAATGCCAACGATGACTGAAGACCGAGGCATGCGCGAGAATATGCAGGGAACATTTCGTGCATGCTTCCCTAGGCAAGCTTGGGCCAGCTGATCCACTCGTCGGAAGCTTGACAGGCTTGACTTGACCGACGCTGTGGTTGGCGTTCGCGCGTTTGCCCTGTGCCCTCTCAATCATGCCCCGCTTGCCCCTCCCCACCCAATTTGCCCTACGAGCACCTGCCCGATTCATCTCAGCCTGTAGACCGCGAATAAGCGCCACAGCCACTCATAGAAGCCTCTTCTGTCATCCACGAAGCTTCCACTTCTCGCCCTCACTGAGACTCGTCGCTACGCCTATCCGCTGCGACCAATACACGCCCGAACGAATTCCCAACGCCGCCTGGCCATATCTGTACCACCCGTTCAACAAGATGGCACACCTCGACCCCTACTTCAAGCAGGTAGATGCCCTGCAGGCAAACTTTATTGAGAGGCTGAGGGAGGCGGTCGCTATTCCCAGTATCAGCTCAGAAGACCAGAGGAGACCTGATGTAGTCAAGGTACGATAGACATTCCCAAAGAAGCATGCAGTCGAGTCTGTGTTTCGGGTCAAGATATTAGATGCATATCTGAATGTATGACTGACTTCAAATGCAGATGGGCCACTGGTTGGCCGACCAGATCAAGGCACTCGGTGGTGAGGTTGAGCTCCGCGAGCTCGGAAAGCAGCCTGGTCGCGAGCACCTTGACCTCCCACCGTGTCTTCTCGGACGCTACGGAAACGACCCGAAGAAGCTCAACGTCCTCGTTTACGGTCACTACGACGTGCAACCCGCGAACAAATCTGACGGCTGGGCGACCGACCCCTTCACCCTGAGCATCGATGACAAGGACCGTATGTACGGACGCGGTAGCACAGATGACAAGGGTCCGGTTCTTGGCTGGTTGAACGCCATCGAGGCCCACCAGAAGGCCGGCGTAGAGCTACCAGTGAACCTGGTCATGTGCTTCGAGGGCATGGAAGAGAACGGATCAGAAGGTCTGGACGACACCATCCGCGCCGAGGCCAAGAAGTTCTTCAAGGACGTCGATGTTGTCTGTATCTCGGATAACTACTGGCTAGGAACCGAGAAGCCATGCTTGACATACGGTGTCCGGGGATGCAACTACTACCAAGTTGAGGTTTCTGGCCCTGGTCAAGATCTGCACTCCGGTGTCTACGGTGGAATGACACACGAGCCCATGACCGACTTGGTTCGCATCATGAACTCCTTCGTCGACCCCGATGGCAAGATTCTCATCAAGGGCGTCGATGATCTCGTCGCTCCCCTTACTGACGAGGAGGCCGCGCTTTACCCACCCATCGCATTCACCATGGACGGTCTGAGGGAATCACTAGGTGGTGCAGTAACGATCCACGACAGCAAGGAGGAAGCGCTGAAGCACAAGATGCGATACCCCTCATTATCGCTCCACGGTATTGAGGGTGCTTTCTACTCTGAGGGAGCAAAAACCGTCATCCCAGCAAAGGTTATTGGAAAGTTCTCTATCCGCACAGTACCCAACATGGAGATTGACCCAGTCACCAAGCTGGTTGAGAAGCACGTCAACGACGAGTTCGCTAAGCTGAAGTCGAAGAACACGATGAAGTTCAGCGTGGTACACTGCGGAAAGTGGTGGGTAGAGGACCCCAACCACCCCAACTACACTGCTGCTGCCAAGGCTGTCGAACGTGTCTTTGGTGTAAAGCCAGACATGACTCGGGAGGGTGGTAGCATTCCTGTTACATTGACCTTCCAGGAAGAGCTTGGCAAGAACGTCCTGTTGCTGCCAATGGGCAGCTCAACTGACGCTGCTCACTCGATCAACGAGAAGCTGGACAAGAGGAACTACATTGAGGGCACCAAGCTGCTAGGAGCCTACTTGCACTACGTTGCAGGAGAGATGAAGCGCGAGTAGAATGCCGCACTATGATTAACATCGTCGGTCGCGTTCCCGTAAATACTTAGTTGGTCTGCTACATACAAGAAATAAATACCCATTCAGCAGTGTGCTTCTCAGCCGACCCCAGCTCGATGACACAGCAGGCTCATGTCGTGCATTTTCATCGACATCTTAGGATTAGGACAATTCGCACAACGTTGAAATATTGTCATGCGCACTGTACCCTGATTATGTGCCGGCGGTAGTCTGGGGGTGGAAGACAGGATCCCGCCCAGCTTTGACCACCCCGGCGCGGAACAACTAAAAAAGTTCGGCATCGCTCCACCAGGAACGGCCAGCACCGTGCCAACGCGAGCACCACAACAGGTGCACGCCAACCCACACACCCAATTCCACAATGTCAACATGTAAATCTCTCCTCCGAGCCTGTCCCTCGCAACAACGGACCACGCCGTCGCTCCTGCCCCTCACGCAATGCCGCTTCGAATCCACAACCCGGCGACACAGAAAACTGCTCGCACTCCCCGAAGCCCCATCCTACACACCCGACCGCTCTGCGCCCACACTGGTCTTCAACCCGCCGTCCTCGGCGCCAAACGTCTACCACACGCCGCTCAAATTCCTGCCCAAGGAAGATAAGCGGAGAACGTTATACGCTGCCGCACAGCAATACGCAACCAAACTAGCGCACACACGCCAATCCTCGCCCATTGCCGCACCCGGCACGCCGCTCAGCACAGAAGCGTTTTTGCCGCCGCGCCCTTCTGCGTCGCTGCCTGCGCCGCTCCGGAAGCCGTACGAGAAGACGTATCATCTCAACGAGGCCGACATTGCAGAGATTAGGAGGCTGAGGAGTGAGGATCCGGATACGTGGACGAGGGTTAAACTGGCGGAGAAGTTTGGCTGTAGTCAGTTCTTTGTGGGTATGGTGGCTAAGAATGAGGCCAAGGCGGAGAGGGTGGAGAAGGAACATGAGGCGATGAGGAGGAAGTGGGGGACGAGGAGGCGGGAGGCGAGGGAGGATCGGGGGAGGAGGAAGGTGCTTTGGGGGAGGGACGCTTAGATGGATGTTTTTGATGGGGTGGGGAGTGTATGATCTTGGCCTGGATGGCGCCGGAGCCTGGGTGGTCTGGAATATGGAAATGATGGGGATGTGGTATACGATATGTGTAAAGAGCAGAAGGAATATTTGTAGTCTGGTATATCATACTACCGATTTGAAACACATACTGAGCAGACCTGTTTTTGACCCGTGTTCTAAAGGGTATCATCCCAAGCCGTTGCAAACGCCAGACTCCTTCATAAAATACCACGCATCACCTTGCTCCATCCCTTTCCATCTCAACCCCCTTCCCTACCCTGAAAACAAATCCTTCGCCGTCCCTCGCCCCCACACCAACCCTCCAACACTCAAATCGTCCTCGACCAACAACCTCCCACCGCTGCACCCTCTCCTTCTCCGCATCTTCCACACTAATCCCCGGAGCAAACTTGAGTACATCCACACGCCGAACTGCTAACCGTGTAACAGGTGTGCCCTGAGGCCACGATGTAGGCAACGCCGGCCGGTACGATGACAGCAAGTTAGACTGCGATGTCAATACCGTAGCGCAGGAGAGTAGCTTGCTCAGCTTTGCAACGCGGGTGGTGAGCTGTGTCGATGCCGTCGCGAGCGTATTCGAGGAGCTAGACACGGAAGGACTGGTATTCCGTATCGACCAGACGAACGCGTCGATGTCTTCGAGGATGAGGGAGTGGATGCGACGGTGCAGGCTCTTGTGTTGAGGAGTTTTGTTGAGAAGGTAGTCGGGTAGGGAATCGAGGGTGGATAGGAAAGAGGACCAGGACTGGGGGCGCAAGATGTGGAGGTGTGGGAGGGCGGTTTTGATTGCGGATTTCATGGAGGCTTTGAGGTCGTCGGTGATTTCTTTTTCGGCGGTGATGAGGCTGGTTTTGAGATGGGTGGACATGACTTGTACTAGTCGGGCGATGCTGAAGTGGTGCAGTGGGTCGAAGAGGATGACGGCGCTTTCTTGGCCATGGAGAGGGGTGGAAGAGAAGTTGCGTGGGAGAATGGCGTGGGCGATGATGAGGTAGATTAGTGAGGTTTTTCCTCCTCCTGAGGCGTGATGGGTTGGCGGTGGAGAGATGATTTCGAGGATTGGTGAAGATGAGTTGGTCATTAGACGGTCGATTTCTGGTATGTTGAAATGTGAGGGTTGGGCGGTGTTTGTGTTGTTGGCTCTGTTGGAATAAGCATCGATTCGTAAGTCGAGAGAGTAAGAATTCTGAGAAAAGAGTATGTGGGCTGTGAAGAATATACATACATTCCGTCTTCCTGCACCATAAACTCACGTAGAGACTTGAAAAGCTGTACTGTCGTTAACATTACTCACCTCGCGCATCGAGCTTGTCTCGATATTCCATACCTCGCTCAGATCCTCGACCTCAACTTCCATCAACAACTTCTCCCCCAACCTCTTCGCCCCATCACCGTTCATTTCCATCTCCCATGCAGATCACCCCTTGATCCTCTCCAATCCTTTTCAAACACGACCCTACTCTTTTGATATCTTTTCCCCCGCGCAATGGCGCCACCAATCTCCACAATCCCGGTAACCGACTTGGAAGCCTCGATCAACACTCTGCCGTCAGGAAAACGACGAAATCCACCGGTCAATCTGAGCGACTGCGCGCTGAAGGAGCTCGTGCAGTATAAATGCAACGTGGAGGCACCGAAGAAGAAGGGCGCTGTGCCGCAAATTATATGCGAGCCGCTGGTTCACTTGTTGAGAAAGTGAGTATTGGTGGAGTGAGGTGGGAGGCACGAGGTCTTGGCACTGGAATCAGCAACCGGGAGTTGGTGTTATCAGGTTGAGCGCATGGCTAATGAGATTATAGGTGTTCGGGAGGTTTGACTGTGGAGACTACGGCGTGGGAGGAGTGGAAGGCGAAACAGGAAGGTGCGATGGTTGAGCGATGAGATCAAGTCACCACCTATAGCCTCACACAACATCACACATGAGGTGGCTGTTTGCACCGGGGACATGATTGTTATACGTGTATTTTCAACTATGAGATCTCGCTAAGGATTCCAGGAGTAAATCCAATCTAGATATGAACTCGATGGGATGAATAATGAGTTCGCATTGACCAAACTTTGTGTAGCCTTCAGCTACGCTGTGCAGGAGAGCGAGTAGACTATAGTACAACTTGCAACGAAAAAAAATAGACAATCAACGCCGCCTTAATGCCTAAAACGTATCTCGAAGCCCCGCGGCCGAAATGCAGGTACCCAAACGCCTCGCTATCAAAATGCTGTAAAACGACTTTTCTGAAGGTGTCGCCGCCATTGACCGGCTGTGACGAACTATGAGACGCCCGTCGCGGATTTCCTCCAGTACTTTTGGTCGTAGTTGACGTGCACGCCTTCTTCCAGATTGACGTTACGATCGGCGGTGGGCTGCCGTATTGGAGCGTCTTGATGCGTGTTGTAGTCATCGTCGTCTTCGTCCATTTGAGCTTGCCGCCGCTCTTCCTCCTTCTCCCGCTGGTTCTCCTCGTCCAGTAGGTCTGTCATGGCGGCTTGCCACAATTGGTCGCTCTCTTTCATACGCCTACTGCGCTTCCGCTTCCCAACATTTTGCTTCTGCACGCCTGCCTTTTGCGCCGCCATGAGTTTTCGCAGACTCTGCTCGGCAAGAATGCCCTCTTCTGTCGCCTTCTCCCTGATTTTGCGCGGGTCATTTTCGCGTTTTGTGAAGACGGGCGTCGCTGTGTATGTGTGTTTCGACGGGAATCCAGGGAAGTGTTTTGGTATGTATGGACGCGTTTCTTTGTCCGCCTTGCCGGAGAGTCCAGGACCTAGCAAGGACTCGGTGTCGGGCGGCGGAGCTTCTGGAGGCGCGGGGGGTGCGAAGTAGGGCTGTAAGACGGATGGCGGGATCTCGCCTGTGTCGAAATGTTGTTCGAGGGGCGCAGAGCCGCGCAGGCCGGCGGATGTGAGGGCATAGATCCAGTCGTGCGCGACCGTTTCGGTGCGTCGCGAGCTGATCATAGACGTGCGTACTTGTGTTAGAAAGTTGGTCATGTCTGTGACGGGTCAGTCTGGAACACTGCAGTGGGCACTCGCGGCCAGTCTCTGTCGCAAGGTGAAGCCATACAGGAATCAACCAGCGCCCGGAACTCCTCCAACGCGTCCGGACGCGCGCTCTCGAAGCCGATGCCTTTACATTGTATGGCGATTGCGCGCCGCAGCTGCTGGTCGAAAAAGTCTTTGCTCTCGCCAAAGACATCGTGCTCGGCGCTGATGGGGTCGGCAATGTGCTGGATCGGCTGCGTGTGGTGCAGCGCCCGTACGACTTGTCGCTTCTTGGGGTGCGGCTCTCCGTACGTCGGCGCATGGTCCGCATCATGTGCCCGCTTCATGCCTGCGATTGCGCCCTCGCTGCTGGCGCTGGGGGATAGTATGATGCCTGGCATATGCTGCTCGTTGTCGCGGATCCGGTGGGAGGGTACGCCGTGGGAGCAGGTTGCGCACGCGATGGTGGTTCCGGGGACGTCTCTATCGGTGGGTAAGGGCGCAGACGGGAGTGAGAGGGCGCATCGGTTGCGAAAGGGTGCCCTCGCGATGGGAGCGGACGTGCAGGCGCGTATTGTTTCTTATTCGATGGTATTGGTCCTTTCACCTGCCTGCTGCCGTTGTTCTTCAGTTGGGTCGGGAGCTTCCAAGGCGCGGGACGCTAGGACGCCTGCCTTACGTCAGCAGCACTGCGTTCTCCCGTCGAACCACCACACCTTCAGAGAGCCGCCGACGACATCCACCAGCTCCCGCAAACCGCACCCGCGCCCCAAAACTCTCCGCTCTCCCGAACTCAATTCCGCAATGGCTGTCAAACCGATCACCGGCGTAGGTGCTGCCATTGAGTGCCGTGGGCCGTAGTGCGCTGGACGCTAATGACTGGACTGCAGATGCTCCGACGACAGGTCGTGCTCGACCTCTCTGTCGCTATGGGTGCGTAGGAATCGGGCAGTGCATGGCCGCTATTTTCGGGGCTCAAAGAGCTCTGTAGCAATGCGCGCGTCAGCTTTGGACATTGGCTAACAGCAGTCACAGGTCTTGGCCTCACTGCCGGCTACGGCTGGTGGTACGGTACGTGAATCAGTCACAGGCGATGCGACTGCGCTTCCTATCTTCAAAGACTCTTTATTACGCCCATACTTACTATCCAAGGCTACCACGTCCCTGCCGTCCGTCACCGCGACGCCTTCTACCAGAAGCTCGAAGACGAGCGCGCATCATCTCTCGGCCAGAAATAAGCGACTGCCCTTCGCGAATCGACATCTCCTTTGTATCGACAGGTCACGAAAGCATAGAATGGGCATAGCTGGGGATCAGATGTATCATAGGTGGGGGGATCTCTCGACAGCAAGCCAAATCAGACTCCGTCAAACAACCCCACGTATGCGTCCTCACGTGTTATGTGCTTCGTGACTACGGCTATCCATACAAATACCCAGTCTCGTCGCTCTTGAACAGTGCTAATTGTTTGTGAAATGACGGCTCCACGCGCTCACAGTCGTCGACATGATTGATCGAACATGTGATTCTTACGCAGGCCGCTTCATTGGACTTGGACGTTCTGCACGTCAGAAAATGGCCGTAGAGTTTAGGCTTTTCCAGAATTCGATGTGATCCGCATTTACCCATGCCTCAATACGAGTCTGATAAACTTGCAGAAGGTTATCGGGCGGGCTTGAACTTCGTCATATGCCTAAGGTTTACAACCCATCGAAGGGCGTTGTTCATCGGATCCGCGGCGGCATCATTTCGCTCTTTCCACGTGAAGCCTTCACATCGTGGCAGGTAAGGCGGTCTTTAACAACCATCTAGAGTGAATGCGCAGTCTCGGGGGCATAGAGAAAGGGGGCCATCGAGCGTTCTCATGCATTCCTGAGGCATAGAGGAGACGTACAGAGTGATGACAAGGCTGTTAATTTGGGAGGGGTACGTGACGATGAAGATCATCCTGATGTCGAATTGGGTGCACCCCATTCAAGGGAGGAACTAGACACCTATCTTCGCAGTACAATCATTGAAGAAAAAGCTAAGAAGGCTAGGTTGGCTTATCGATCTACGAGCTGAAAAACACAAGGCCATGTAAACTTCAGAGCCTTTATCCGGTTTTCCTCTTGAAGGGGTGTGGGTGCGCTGTCTTCTCATAGCAACTGTTGCGCAGGGATGATGGCAAAAAAACAAACATAGACGGTTGTTCGCGATCGATGGACGTGAGCTGAGGGTAAGCGCACGGACCCATCGTGAGAGTTGCTCCTCTCTTGGAGTGTGGTTGCGAGCATCCATATAGCCCGAAGATACCACTCTGTTCATGCCCTTCACCGAATTTCGCCAGTCACAAGGACTGTGTAGAATGCCCCGAAGCAGTAAAGAAAGGCATCTGGCCGTGTTTAAGTTCGATGCAATTCCGATGCATCGATGATGGTGGTTACAAGTCGTCTCACTAAGCGTGCACGAAACTGTTGATAGGCCGTTGTGACGTATCAGGCCAATGACGGAACGCTGTGGATCACGAGGCGCGACGCGACACGTTGTATGCTAGATTGTTTCTTCATCACGAACGCAAGAAATGAACGCAAGAAAGGCCGAAGTTGAACTGCAAGACAAAGCAGCGGTGGGGGGAGCAGAAACGTGTCAAACGCTGGATGCCATTGGCTGGCGTCCGGCTTCATTGTTCCCTGGCGATCATGCCCAATCCATGGGACTGACATGGGACTGCAGGGGGGCTTTCCGCCAAGGATCGACGCGAACCAGAGACGGAAGGGGCAGTGGCGGAGCAAGCGAAACTTGTGTGAGAGGAGGTGGCCTCTTGAATGGGTAGGCGATGGACAGGCAGCTCTAGATGCGGAGATGTCAAGAAAAAGCAGTGTCAGGGATGGAGGGCGTATGAGGGAGGGCAAGGTGACTGCTTTGACAGCGGCGTTGTTGGTTCGGAACGGGGTGGAGGCCCATAGTCCTGTGCCATAGCGTCCGGCGCTTTAGTGCGAGATGTGGATAACTAGTCCTTCACCATCTTTTAGGGCAACGGGTGGCCGATCACCAGCGACCTGGAGGACGAGTACGAGGACGTCAACTTTGACAGCTTTGAGTGGCGATGGTATATGGAGGCTTCTATACTCATCTTGACATTCATATGCATGGGGAATGAGGAATTGTGCGACTGGCATCTTGCATCCATGGGGTTGCCATGTGTCCTTGATAGGGAAAATGGACGAGATGATTTGAATTGAAGGCGTTATTGCCCTGATCACCGCCTGGCGCAGATGACAGCTAAAGCGGCTAGTGAGCGATGGTAGTGGAAAAAGCAGCGGAACCCTCGCAGGGCATCAGGCAGATGGCATGGCGCCATCCCAAGCCACAGGGCTTCCTGACGTTTGGGATGAAACCGAGCAGTCGTCGATACGCACACCAGGCGCTGCATCGTAGAGCTGCCACAGTGCTCAAACACAACACAGAGCAAGACGACGAACGACTGCAAGATGAGAGCGACGCTTAGACCGGCCGAGCGGGGAGGAGGGAAGACGAGCAGAGCACATGGTTCGTCCTGCCACCAGAAGTGCGGAAGATTTGGCGGGTCCCAGCCAAGCGCTAGTGCCGTTCATTCGACGAACCTGTGAGACCTAGTCGTCGACAGAGATGGGGGGCGCAACAGGCACCCGCTGGATCCGTCGCCGGCGATGGGAGCAACTTGATATACATGAATCAGACATGCAGCACGTCGTCAGCGCAGCAAGTCGTCGTGCGCATGCCTCGACAGCTGTTCCTTTGCACTGGGGGCATGACCCAGGCGGACCGGGGCAGGAGCGTTAGAGGGCCTACCAATTGCAGGCTAGCGGATAATCCCTGCAGTTTGGACGAGGTAGGTGCGACGGGCGCGATTGCTGCACCTGGGCTGCGACGCACGCCCATTCTGTCGCCTTTCGCAATCTTCCTCGCTCACCCACCCACCAAACACGTCTGCCTTTGCATCTTAGTATTTCCTGTTGCGACGACATCTTCACTGCGATAGCTGCATCCTGTTCCCATGGACACGTCGTCCTGAGCCCTGCAGCTGCATCATTTAGGCGCCGTCGTTTGGGTCCACGGGTGCTGCGCTAACCTTGCGCCCTGTCCGCAAGTGTCGATCAGTCTCGAGCCGCAGCTGGCGTCGTCCTCTCGAGCCTCCGCCTTTCACTCACCTAAGCACCTAAGCCTCACTCCAGGTGAGCAGCTGTGGCCCTGCCTTTCCTCGCGTCTTGCCCATAGAGCCGCAGGCCCAGCTCTCTTCCACGACACCCGACACGTTTTCCTCCGTGGCCGCTTCCATCTTCTCCCACGTCACCGCTGCCCTCGCCGTTGCCGTTACCGTCACCGCCCCCATCCCAGGTCTCACCAAGTCGTCTACTCGGCACCAGACACGACGCCTCGACGCCGGAGTCGTCCCACCGCCCGCCGCGCACCTGAAACTCTCGGCCTGCATGAGTGCTGCTGTTCACTGCACATCCGCGGCACTGCACCGCTGCCTGTATCTTGCGCACCTCCGCCAGCCTGCGACATAGCGCGCCCGTGGCCGTTCGCGCTCCACCACCATGAACAACCCCAACATGCAACAGAACGGCATGCAACAGAACCGGGCCACCGCGGGACTCCACCACTTTATCCAGCACTATCGCGTGCAGCAGCAGCAAGGCAAGATCCCAAATGGCTGGCAGCAGGGCACGCAGCCGGAAGAGCGCGGTCAGCTGGCCCTCCAGTTCTTCACTCAGTACCGCCTGCTCAAGCCCGAAATCGCCGAGGTCGAGTCTATGCGCGCCGCCCTCCAGTTCGAGACGCAGACCTTCATGTCTTCTTCGACAAAGGACCAATACGTCTCCAACATCAAGCAAAAGCTCATCGTCATGACGACTGCGCGCCAGCAACAATTACAACAACGCATGCAAGGCGGCGTTCCCAACAACATGAACAACCCGATGAACGGCATGAATCCCGCCCAGATGAACCAGATGAACATGATGAATCAGATGAGTCAGCAAGGCGCCAGGCCCGGAGGCCCCCAGTTCAACCCGGCCTTTCCGAATGCCCAACTTCAACGGCCCATGCAAGTTTCACCAGTGCCCATGTCACAAGGGCAGTCTTCTATGGGTGTTAATGGGGCCAACCCCGCCAACATGCCCCAACAGGGACAAAACAACCAGCAACCGAACATGCAACCCAACCAGCCCACACAGAATCGTCAGGACCAACTGATCATCAACCAGTTCGCTAAAAAGCTCATGGATACTTGTAAAGAGGAGGTTCGGCTCAAATTCGAAGCTGATATTCGCGCATGGCCCGAGGATAAGAAGCAGCAGCTGCTCGCTCAGGGTATCAATCCTCTCTTCCTCCGTTTCCGACAACACGCCGACATGCTCTACAGAAGAGGCGCCCTCAACCAGCAGGGAGCTGCGCAAAATGCCGGCGCCATGCAGGGAGCTGCTCAGCCGAACCGGATGCAGGCCCAGCAGATGGGCATGAATCCACGTCAGCCTAACCAAGAGTTTGACTTCACTGAGATAGCAAATCGTCAAATGGAAGCTATGCGCAGTCAGGACCAGGGCAACACAGTAGTGCCTGCAAGCAACAACCAGAATAACGGCGGTCAAATGGGCGGCTTCCAGGGCCAAAACGCACAACAAAATGCATCACAAAATGCCATGGCACAGCGCCAGGCTGCTGAGGCATTTCACCGCCAACAACAGGCACAGCAGGCGCAACAAGCGCAAGCACAAGCTCAGGCCCAGGCTCAAGCTCAGGCTCAGGCGCGATTGGAGCAACAACGGCAGCAACAGGCGGCGCAAGCACGCAACCAGCAGAACCAGATGCTCCAAGGCCAAATGGGCGGTCTGAACATGCCCCAAGGTTCTCAGGCCAGCCCTGCCATGCCTATGCTCAACCGGCCGATGGCTCCACCGGGACAGGCAGGACCTCCTGGTACACCGCAACAGCAACGGCCCCCTCAAGCTCACGTTCCCATCATGACGCCTCAACCCGGACAGACTGACCCCAACCTGTCCGAGCTTATGCGACAAGCGCAACAAAGAGCTGCCGCCGTACAGCAGGCCAACCAGCAACCGCTGACTGATCAGGTTCGCATGAACATGATGCCGGCCGACCTAGACCCGAACGTCAAGCAGCAACTGCTCAAGGTTCCGGAGCCTCAGTTCCGCGTAATACTACAGAGCTACATGATGAATCTTCGTCGCAATGGCGGAATTCAAAATGGAGC